GGGGGGGGGGAGGTGAGGCTGAGGAGATGGGAAATCAAGCCTGTTCCAGGCATCTATTAATGAGCTCAAATCAGTTTCTGAGCCTCATTGCCTTCTTGCCAAACAAAATACCCTGTGATCTGTCTCCCTTTCTCTCTCTCCGTGACACATTTATTTGGGAAAGGTCAGTTATGAGTTTCAATTTATGGGGATTATAAAATACAAATTGTGTTAGGAGGGCACGTGGGTCAGACAGTTAAGAAGACTGTCCATAAGTGTTTTTAGAGTTTCCAGTAATGATCCTGCCTGCAAAACCCCCTGATGGTCTTTCTATGCCAAATATAGCAAGGGCCTTCTGGCCTCCCCCCTTCCCCCTTTTTAAACCTTTATGCGGTGGAAATGTGTAGAGTTACTGAAAAGGGTCAAGAATTTGAAGGAACACAATTGGAACTGGAGGGCTCCTTTATTGACAAGGACGGGTTGCTGTCTTGAAGGTTTCTAAGGTGTTGGCATTTCTTTTATGGTGGCAAAGCATGTCCTAAAAACAGCCCAACCAGCCTGACCAGGTTTGTGAGTCAGTGGACATGAGTACAGGATGTCCCTAACACTGTGCCTGGCACAGAGTAGGTGCTCACTAAATTGTTGCATTGAAAGCTGTGAGTAGGATAACAGGACTTAAATAGATTAAAAAAAAAGCTTTGCAAAGCTAACATCATTCGGCACGAGCATTTCTTAAGGATGGAGGTTGTAAATATTCTCTCAAGACTCCATTTGCTTCAAAATGAAAGGATATAATTAGAAGTCTTCATTCCAATAAATTATTTGGATAGTTCTCACCTGGGAGTAATTTTGCCTCTCGGCATTTGACAGTATTTGGAGACATTTTGGTTGTCATAACCAGAGGGGGTGCTGTTGGCATCTTGTAGGTAGAGGTCAGGGATGCTGCTACACATCCAATAATGTATAGGACAGCCCCCTCCCCCGCAAAGAATTTTCCAGCCCAGATTGTCAGTAGGGCCCAGATTGAGCAACTCTTGTTTGCATTAATGACAATAACTCTTTTACATGCATTCATTTCAATGAAGAGGACATTAAAACTCATCAGTTGCATTTTTCTGCCACATATATAACACGTGTGCATGAATTTTCTTTCCCTTTCACTCTCTTTTTGATAATATGCAAAAGCATGACACGTAAGTGAAGACATTGTGAGCTGAATTAGACCATATCTGAGCCTCACTCACTTGGTATTAATGCTTTTTGAACCAGAATGACAATAGCCTGGATAGAGGACAGCAGTGATTTTTTTTCCTAGCCCCATTTGAATTTTGAAGTTTCCTAAACAGTTGCTAAAGACCTCCTTTTTTTCTTATTTAAAAAATTTAATAATTCAAAATTGCTAGTATACAGTAAATGTAACTCTGAGATCATATATTGAAATTTATATTTGTAATAACTTTTTGGAACTTGGATCTTTTCCTGAAATTGGTTTTAAAGGACTTCCAGGCAGTGCATATAAATTTAAAATATTCTTTTCTTAGCTGTCAGATATTGAATTTTGTGTGTTCTGTGCTATCCAATTATATTTATGTATCTGTCTGATTCAAAATCCAGTATGGTTGCAAAGCATTACCTATTGACAACCCCAGAACACTTAAAAAAAAATCCAAGGATGTGACCTCTTGGAATAGGGTCTTTTTTCACTGATGAGTTACTGCTTACTAATTAATAGCTTTACTCCTTTGCAGCCCTATAGAATGATCTAGCCATATCCATGTTTCCCAGACCTGGGGTTCCTCATTAAGTTTTAAAAGAAATCGGTTCTCTGTCCACTCTGGCTGTGCCCTGGCAGTAGGCATCTGGCTTCCACCCCTTCCTAAGGGCCTGCAGCCACACATACATGAAGTGGCCCAGGTCGTTTGAATAAAGGACCTTACTCCTGTCAGATTTTTCTGTATGTTTCAGGCAAGAGTTTTTTGGTTTTTTTTTTATGTCCTAGTTATCCATAATTCCTCCTCGTCTTCATAGTTTGAATTGTAATACATTTGAGATCACACTAGCATAACAAAATTTTCTAAAGTTTTTTTTTTTTTCTGTTATAAAAATATTAATGTGAATTACCATAGGAAGATTTAGAAAACCACAAAGAAAAAAATAAACATCTCCCTTAATCCCATTTTTAACGCTTGGTGTATATTTTTCTGTTTTTTAAAAATGCAAATGTGTGGATACATACACAAGCGTTTTTAATTGCAGTCACACTATGCTTTCTGTTTTGTAACTTATTTTCCCTTAAACAGATCATGTAACATTTTAATAACTAATACAGAAGACCAGAATGACCACACATAGAACTTGTATTTATTGATCTAATAAATGTGTTGACTCAACAGTAGATTGACATATTTTCGACATGGACTTGTTCAGTGTTTTTTGTCTTTGTGGCTCCAAGTAATGTTCTAAGAATGCTGCCCTCTTGAAAGACTCAATTCATCTGTGGTGTGAAATTTGGGATTTTGCTGAGTTTCTCTATGATTTAAGAATGAGTCATGATTTGCAGGAGAATATGAAGATGTAGTAACAGGAAGTCCAGGGCACTCCACATCAAAATAGAATGTTCAGTGATGAGAAAAGAGAAACTAGGTTAAACCGAAAATACGCCTTGAACTTACCTGACTATAGGAGGGAGGCAGGGAGGGAGGGAAGTGCCTCTTGCACACTTGGACAACTTTTTATTTAATACTGTTTCTTTTCAGCTCAAGATTGCTATTGCCCATCTTTGGCCAGTTTGAATTGAGATCATCCAGCTTTTGGGTTGAAACCGTAGCAGTGAGACCATGGGAACTCTGGTTTTACTACCTCTCATGCAGCCCTAGTAAACTGAGTTGTCAACATGTGTGTGGGTAACCTGTTAACAAATCCTAAAGGCCTTCAAAAATGGTAGATTACTTAGTCTTTTAAGTAACTATCTTGTGCAGAAATTTGACTCTCCATGATTCCTATCCACACCAAAATAAAAGTGGGCTTTCATCCATTACTGGAAACTTATGTATATGTCAGGTCAGCAGTTTAAAAGTAAACTTTAAATTGGTCATTTCAGTAAATTGGAATTTGGTCTGAATTGCCACTAGGAA